GCTTCCAAGAAATCTTTATGAAAGCAGGCCTTCCTTACCAGGTCTCTGTTAACAAATACAGTGAAATCGATTCAAACTCCACTAATGCAGAATATTTGACAACCAAACTGAATAGGTAACTGCTTTTGTGGCTGGGATGGTGTCTGTGCTTCTCTGATATCACCTACATAATACATGCTCAAAATTGTATGTTAATTAGTTTATTGAATTTGGAGGACCAGGCTAAAACTTAAGTTTGGATTCATAATAAATCTTGTAAATTAATAATAGCATAGCCTGTCTGCAGATCAGAGAGTATTTAATTATTTTAATACAAAATATTATGTGCCAAGCCCTGTGGTCAGCACTTGTGTATAGCTTTTCTCTTTTATCTTCACTACAGCTCCCTCTGGGTGGCATTAGCTTTCTCATTTCTAACAAGGGAATAATAAATTGTATAAAGGTGAAATAACTTGCCCACAGTTTTACAGTTATTAGTGGAGCCAGGAGTGAAACCTCAGTCTTTGTTATGGCAAAATCTGTATCATTTCCACTCTGCCACTCCTAGAAAATAATGTGCATAATTATAGTTGTCTGCATACTGCCACCCCCTATGTAAAAATGCCACAGTCTCTTACTTGGACTAGAGCCATAGTCTCCAGTGATTTCTGCATGTGTGCCTGTCCACCTCTGTTCCTTTCTTCCCTCAGTGTCAGAAATGATATTTTTAAGCTGCATGACTGACCATGTCACTCTGCTGTTCAAAACCCATGTCTTAGCATAAAGACCAAAATCCTTATAGCAGTTACAGTGCTCCTCCACCTTATCTTGTTCTTCAGGCCCCTTCACGACCATATCGTAATCCCGTTTTGTACCTGGCACGCTGTCTGTCACAGTAAGTCATGATTTCTGATTATCTGTTTGTGCGATAGTGAGGCATGCCTGTATCCCCACCAGACTGTTAGTCCATGAGGCAGGAACTACACCTGTATGGTTTGCCATCGAGTCCCCAGGACCCACCACAGTGCCCAGCACATAATTATGAAAACTAGTTTTTTTTTTAAGTCACTTAGTACTATCTATTCTCACAGCCAGAATTAGTATTTTATTCTTCCTTATATTGAGACCTTAGGTGTGTAAAGACACAAATACAGATCAGATTTATTTTTAATAACTTTCATATGATTTTCAGATGTTTTACTTGTCTATAATCATAGGCCATTATTATTTCCTATGGTATATGCCTTATTCCAAGCATTTTACCGGCATCATCCCATTTAACCTTCATAGTCATCATCGGAGGGTAAGGACTATTATCAGCCCCACTTTTCTGAGATGAAGATCCAAAGAAGTCAAGTAATTTGACTGCTGATATAGCTAAGATTCAATCCAAGGCTTGTGTGATTGTTCATGACTACGCCTTGTTGTGTCGTTAGCAATTGAATGCATCCTTAGAAGACCCTGTTTCACTGTTGTCATTTCCTTGTCATGCACTCACTTAGCCAACAAATATCCATTAAGCTCCTATGATGTGTGAGGCCCTGTGACAGTGCTAGAGGTGTGAACAATTATCATGACAGGCAGTCTCTTTCTGTGGCATGTGCGATGCAGAGGCGGAAACAGATGACCAGCTGGCGGAAACAGATGACCAGCTGGTCTGTACAGAGAGTCCACAAATACTGTGATGGGGAAGAATAGGATTCTAAGGTGACACATAGGAGGGATATAAATCCTAGAGGCAGGGGATCCAGAAGACATCCTTGAAGAAATGGTATTGACACTAAGTTACGGTGGATGAGACATAGATACGAAGTAAATAAGGCCAGATCAAAAAGAACTTTGCAAGACGTGTTGAAAAGTTTGGATTTCAAATTAATGGGAAGCTATTAAAGGGCTTTCAGCAGCATACAAATGACATGTCAGATTTGCAGTTCAGAAATATCACTCTGACTGCAGTGTGTAGGAAGGATTGGAATGGAGAAAGAATAAAGGCAAAAGAGCTGATTTAGTCAACCGGTAAGAGATCGTGAAGACAGCAGTGGATGATGGAATTGGGTGATGCAAATAAGGGTCCACGGAAATGGAGGCGTTAAAGTGACATTTAAGAGATATAGGACTTGGTCACTGAGAGCATGTGGGATGTGAGGACCCAGGGATGAAATGCAGATTCTGGCTGGGCCAGGGGGAGGGACGGGGGCTAGTGCCATTCACTAGAGAAGGGAACCCCAGAGAAAGTGGCTTTGGAAGAGAAGAGGTGAGTATAGGCTGGACACGCAGAGGCTAAATTGCCTAAGGAGCCTCCCTATGGGTCTGTTGGCCACTCCCGTGGACCTGTGTTATTCCGCCTGTGGGAATCCTGAGGGCCTCCCTGTGCTCTACAACGTCTCCTCAAGAGAGACCTAGCCATCCAGCCTGTCTCCCTCCACCAGCAGCCACTCCCTGCCTTGTAGCCACATCTCCCTCTTGTGCTCAAGTTCACAGTCCATATTCCTCTTCTCTAATGCCTGTTTCATGTGATCCGTAGCCAGGATCCAGATCAGAAGAGTTCAGTAGCCCACTTCCTATGGCTACCTGGGCACAGATACCAACCAGGACGATGGGGGAGATCTCATCATCACTGCTCTCTTTGTATCCTGTACCCAGACATACCCAAGGACTAGATCCAGAGGATTTGTAGATCAAACATATAGGGAATAATTATAGGAATACCAGCTATTTCCCTCAAGAAAATTTAATTAATAAATAAATTCAACTTGTAATGCCATCTCCCTTGGAGTACCTCACCAGCTAAATTGAAAAATTGGATAAATAACATCAATAAATACAAAGAACGTCCTTGTTATGTGATATACAGAGAAGGTTGCAAAATTGGAATCACATCTGAGTTCATCCAAATCTAATAAATATTTAAGTAATTCAGTTGGAAAGTGATTTGTACTCCTCTGCTCCAAACCAGAGATATGCCGAAAAGTTTTCTTTTGACAGGACTCACATTATTCACTTGTTCATGTATAATGTATTGTACCCATGTACCAGGCACTACCACTTTTGATTTCATGCATTTTTCCATTTAATGAACACAATCCCCACTTTATAGATGAGGAAAGTGAGGTTGTAAGTCAAGGCTAAAAGGGTATGCACTTGTAGCAGAAGAGCTAGATATGGACCTAGGTCTTTGGACTCCAAGTCCGGTGTTAATTACAACTTCAAGTCCAGGATCTCAATAGATGTTAGTTTTGTTTTTCAAATATAGTATCAGAAGTGAGCAAAGAGATAGGAGACTAAAACTTGAAAGTCGTTGGTGGAAAAGCATATGTGGTGTGTATGGTTCTCAGGAATTAAAACGTAAGTATATACTTCATTGAGAAAATCAACATATTTATTTTCAAACACCAAAGTGTAATGAAAAGTGAACCTTAATCTTGGTGAAGATGTGGAGAATCTGGAACTCTCACACTCCTGATGGGAGTGTAAAACACTACCACTACTTTGAAAAACACTTTGGAAGTTTCATAATTAAACATACACCTACCATACAACCTAGCCACTTTGTTTCTAAGTATTTACCAAAAGAAACGGAAGTATATGTCTATACAAAGATTTGTACATGATTGTTCATAGCAGCTTTATTCATAATAACCAATAACTGGAGCAACACAAATGTCCGTCAACAGGTGTGTTGATAACCAACAGGTGAGTTGATAACCAAATCCATTTAACAGAATACCATTCAGCATATCCATTTAACAGAATACCATTCAGCAGTAAAAAAAAAAAAGGAGCAAACTATTATCATGCAACAACATAGATGATTCTCAAAATAGTTACACTACATAAAAGAATACAGACCAAAAAAAGAGTACATATGGTATGATTCCAGCCATATAGAATTCTAGAAAGTCGTGATGGAAAGCAGATCTGTGGTCGCCTGGAGTAGGGAGCAGGATGGATCAGAAGGTGCACGAGGAGACCTTTGGGGTTGATACACGTGTCCATCATCTTGATTGTGGTGATGTTATCTGGGAATATCATGACAAGACCTCGGGGTGAACAGGAAAGAAATAGAAATGGATTTCTTGACTATCCTAGTGAAAGTAACCATGACTTGAGTTACACGAGCTTACTAACAATGGAACCAAGAAACTGTTCTTGATCAGGTGAGTTAAGTGATCTGTGCCTTAGTTGTACTGCTGCATTGTAGAGATAACTTTTCCTTTTCCCCCGCCTGCCTTCCTGCTTACTTTAACTTTCCCTTTTTTCTTATTTCAAACCTCATACTACTAAAAATACGTAAATAAATGAAAATATTTTAAATGCTCAAATGCAGTTTTGATAGCCTTTCAAACACTAGAATTTGTGTTGGTTTTCTCTTTTCCTTGTAAGGGGTCAGTGTGTACAAGTGGGAAAATGCTTTAAAGCCACATAGACTTGTTAATTTTAATCACAAGTACTATATACTTCAGAGTTGCTAAGAAACTAGATCTTAAAAGTTCTCGCCACAAAAAAGAACTGTTAATTATGGAACATGATGTGTTAGCTAACGCTATGGTGGTAATCATACTGCAATATAGAAATGTATCAAATCAATATAGAAATGTATCAAATCAACACCTGAAACTTACAGTGTTATATACCAATTATATCTCAATATTTTAAAAAGCCAACTAGACCTGGATACAAATGCCAGGTGACTTCCCTTGGACCTTTGCATTTGGCAGTTAACTTCCTTGGTTCTCACATTCCTCACATGTAAGTATTTCAAGGGTCTATTATGAAGAATAGAAATAACTCTGTACTATGATGTTCAGAAAATCATTTGTTTGCTCTTACACCTTGTACATCAGCTCTTTGAGATCCTGCGCTATGTGCCTTTACTGATGTCAACTCCTATAGTAGTGGAACACATACCGAAGCCTATGAGGCATCTTGACAAAAGAGGACAGATGGTACATGTATAATAATGAATTTACCTTTCCATGCACTCTGGTCTGATGTGTCCACTCTGCTTTCATTGTATGTAGTGCACCTGGTGGACATTTGGAACGTCATAGAAGCTTTGAGGGAAAATGGTCTGAACAACGTGGACCCAAACATAGAACTCAACGTGGCCCGATTGGAGGCTGTGCTCTCCACCATTTTTTACCAGCTCAACAAAAGGATGCCAACCACTCACCAAATTCAGGTGGAGCAGTCCATCAGCCTCCTGCTAAACTTCCTGCTGGCAGCCTTTGATCCGTAAGCTCCCTCTGAATATCTGTGACTCACTACATGTTCGGTCTCCCCTTCCTCTTGTGCTTCTTGGTCTTTATTCCAAAGAATTTTCTAGAGTAACCAACTGCTTCTTTTTTTCTTGGTCGGATACTTATCTCAGTAAAGTTTCTATGTGTTTAATATAAATTTTAAATGCTTTGGAAATGACTTAGTGAGTAAAATAGCTCCATAGGAAGTGGAGGACAATTGTATTTTATGTGCTGACCTTTATTTAACTCATCCCACGCTTCCTAGAAGCTATGGACGCTTGGAAGCGTTGCGTGATAGGCCTGTGGAGCAATTTAATGAACCATGATGTGGGAGGATGTTTTTAACGCTCTCCTTTGCAAATTATCTAAGACAGTGCTTCTAAGGTGTCATAACAAGACCCCAGAGCAAACAGATGTTGAAAAGTGTTCCTTCCTTGACCAGTCTAGTAAAAGTAGCCGTGACTTGCATTAAATGGACTGGTTGATAATGTAACATGTAAAACAACGTGATGCCATCCACACACCATGACTGAAACTCAGCCTCATTATCTTATAACTTCCCCTTGCAGACTCAGGGAATTTCAGAACTGTCTGAGATCTTAAAGACCATTCTTCCAAACCTCTCATTTTACAGATGAAGGACCCGAAGTACAGAGAGATTGTCACTTGTCCAGTGACAATCGGCAGGTCCAGTGGCTCTCAGCATGATAGTGGCAGAGTGGGGATTTAGAGATTCAGCTTCGGTTTTTTTTCCAAGGCACATGTGGCAGCCCTGTGAAATGTAAAACCTCCCCTGAATCTCATTATCAGCCGAAAATTTCAAAGGGGGGTTTGCTGATGGCCCCTAGGCTAGATATAGGATCAGCACCTCCAATTTCACCCCTGGTTTTGAATATTAAGAAGGAAAATTGCTAGCTTGATCTTTCAGCAATCCCATTTTAAGAATCTCAGAAGATTTTGCTTAGTCTCGTTGTCTAGCCAATGCTTGGGAATATTTAAACCCAGCACTGGAGATGTTCCAGCCAGGCTAATGTTATTATGCCACTCACAAAAGTCACCAGCTGTCACGTTGCAACCTAGTGTGGTGACAGATTTGTACGTGCTCAGTTTGACCAATATACATTATTGTCTCCATGTTAATATTTTGAGAAATTCTGAAGTTGAAATAAACAAGCAGTCCAGCCTGATAGATTCCATGCTTAGTCTGTGCAGCCTTCAGAAGTGATGTACTGCTTTGGGCTAATCACTGTGGTAGCCAAGCGACAGGGCTGGAAGAGGAAGATGTGGTTCCACATGACTGGTGGCAGAGTGGAACCAAGCCGTGGAATTTCTATAACAGCATTTCTGTTGTGTCCCCTTAACAAGATCATGGCAGCTTTCAGACCTGTTACTGAAGACTTCAGGAGCTTTATTTGTTGTAACAATGGAAAATGTAAATAGAGAGAATTTCCTGCTACATCTTGGGGTATTTCTAGAGGATTCATAAGGAATCAAAGCTAAAAAATACTTTGGGGGTTTCCCTGGTGGGGCAGTGGTTGAGAGTCCGCCTGCCGATTTAGGGGACATGGGTTCATGCCCCAGTCCGGGAAGATCCCACATGCCGTGGAGCGGCTGGGCCCGTGAGCCATGGCCACTGGGCCTGTGCGTCCGGAGCCTGTGCTCCGCAACGGGAGAGGCCACGGCAGTGAGAGGCCCGCCTACCGCAAAATAATAATAATAATAATAATAATAATAATAATAATTTGGACCAACTCTGTAAATACAGAGATGGGGCCAAATTAACAATAAGGATGGGGTATTTTGTGAAACAGATGCGGCTTAACCTAATAGATTTTTCACATTTGTTTGGAAATATTGGGAAGAGCATTTCAAAAAACAGAGCTGTAAATGTTCTCTAAATAGCTATGATAATGTAGCTGAATCATTGCAAGATTGTTGGATGCTAAGCTTAAGGATTATACCAAGGTAAAGAGTAGTTCACTTTTCTCCACACCCTCTCCAGCATTTATTGTTTCTAGATTTTTTGATGACGGCCATTCTGACCGGTGTGAGATGATATCTCACTGTAGTTTTAGGTTGCATTTCTCTAATGATTAATGATGTTGAGCATTCTTTCATGTGTTTGTTGGCAATCTTTATATCTTCTTTGGAGAAATGTCTGTTTAGGTCTTCTGCCCATTTTTGGATTGGGTTGTTTGTTTTTTTGTTATTGAGCTGCATGAGCTGCTTGTAAGTCTTGGAGATCAATCCTTTGTCAGTTGCTTCATTTGCAAGTATTTTCTCCCATTCTGAGGCTTGTCTTTTGGTCTTGTTTATGGTTTCCTTTGCTCTGCAAAAGCTTGCACTGTTCCTGGGAATGTAAATTGATACAGCCACAATGGAGAACAGTATGGAGGTTCCTTAAAAAACTAAAAATAGAACTACCATATGACCCAGCAATCCCACTACTGGGCATATACCCTGAGAAAACCATAATTCAAAAAGAGTCATGGGGGCTTCCCTGGTGGCGCAGTGGTTGAGAGTCTGCCTGCCGATGCAGGGGACACGGGTTCGTGCCCCGGTCCGGGAGGATCCCACATGCCGCAGGGCAGCTGGGCCCATGGGCCATGGCCACTGAGCCTGCACGTCTGAAGCCTGCGCGTCTGGAGCCTGTGCTCCGCAACGGGAGAGGCCACAGCAGTGAGAGGCCCACGTACTGCAAAAAAAAAAAAAAAAAAGAGTCATGTACCAAAATGTTCATTGCAGCTCTATTTACAATAGCCAGGACATGGAAGCAACCTAAGTGTCCATCAACAGATGAATGGATAAAGAAGATGTGGCACATATATGCAATGGAATATTACTCAGCCATAAAACGAAATGAAATTGAGATATTTGTAGTGAGGTGTATGGACCTAGAGTCTGTCATACAGAGTGAAGTCAGAAAGAGAAAAACAAATACTGTATGCTAACACATATATATGGAATCTAAAAAAAAGTCATGAAGAACCTAGGGGTAAGATGGGAATAAAGACACAGACCTACTAGAGAATGGACTTGAGGATATGGGGAGAGGGAAGGGTAAGCTGTGACAAAGTGAGAGAGTGGCATGGACATATATACACTACCAAACGTAAAATAGATAGCTAGTGGGAAGCAGCCGCATAGCACAGGGAGATCAGCTCGGTGGTTTGTGACCACCTAGAGGGGTGGGATAGGGAGGGTGGGAGGCAGGGAGACGCAAGAGGGAAGAGATATGGGAACATATGTATATGTATAACTGATTCACTTTGTCATAAAGCAGAAACTAACACACCATTGTAAAGCAATTATACTTCAATAAAGATGTTAAAAAAAAAAAGAGTAGTTCATACAAATGTTCAGGAGAAATGTTTGTTTCCTAATCTTCTTACACATAGGAAGGCCCCTGATGTATTCTTTCAGTAATCTCATTGTAGTAGATTTAGAAACACATCCACCCAAAGAAATCTCATTGTAGAAATTCACAGACACATCCACATAGAGACCCCAGTCTGCAGATGCATCTGCCTGCTCTCCTTTGGCAGAGCAAATGAATACAGGCAGTTCTACTGAAAAACAAATTTTCTGTCTGATGGATTTTGAAATTTTAGACAATGTGAGAGGTAAGCCGTCAGGAAGTCCCAGTACCTGGAAATACAATTTAGAAGTGAATATAAGAATAGAAACAAGAATAAAATGACTGTTCAATTCTCTCTCTTATAATAGTAAACTTCTAATTATCCAATTGAGATCCAGTATGGAAATCTGATGTCACTTCCTACTACCTATCCCATAATACCCAAATATTTATTTTTTATTTTTTTTGAAGTATAGTTGATTTACAGTGTTGTCTTAATTTCTGCTGTACAGCAAAGTGATTCAGTTATACATATATATATACATTCCTTTTCCATATTCTTTTCCATTACGCTTTATCATAGGATGCTGAACATAGTTCCCTGTGCTTTACCGTAGGACCTTGTTGTTTATCCATTCTATATATAATAGCTTACATCTGCTAATCCCAACCTCCCACTCCATCCCCCTCCCAACCCCCTCCCCCTTGGCAACCACAAGTCTGTTCTCTATGTCCATGAGTCTGTTTCTGTTTGTAGATAGGTTAATTTGTGTCATATTTTAGATTCCACATATAAATGATATCATGTGGTATTTGTCTTTCTCCTTCTGACTTACTTCACTTAGTATGATAATCTCTACTTGTATCCATGTTGCTGCAAATGGCATTAATTCGCAGAACCCAAGTACTTAAGGGAGCCTTCTGTAATTTGGTAGACATGAATGAGCCTGATACTGGTAGATCAATGATGTGCTGTTGGTATTACGAAATCACTGAAACATTTAAGAGATTTTCCCCTCATTTGCTGTATTTTAAATGGACATACTAAAAGAAAAAGAGAGGCAAAATCCAAAATAAAAGAGTTAGAGATGCCTTAACAACCTGGACTCTATAAAGAGGTAATGTAAAAAAAAAAAAATTTAAAGGAAAGACAGTAATTTAAACCCATGAAGAATAAAAACTTGCATTCAAAGAAATATGTTCATTAGTTTGCTTGTGCCTTAAAGTTCACCAGCCCCAGCCAGTTGAACTCTGCCAGGAAATAGTGACCTGAAATGAGGATCAAGGTCCACTTGACTTGGATGCATCCCTGAGAACCAGACTCACTTTCCCACAACCATAGTTCCCCAAGAGTAGCACCCTTCTGTTCCTCTCCCCGCCAGAATCCCTGGATCTCAGTTCTCACCATGCTTGCCGCAGCCTCTGGTCAGTTTCCCGGTTGTGAGGCTTCTCTGCTCTTTGGCCAAGTCAGCCTCAAGATACAGTACATCACTACATACGCAGGATGATTCGTAGACTGTCAAGAGCTAGCATTTGCCTCCAATGGCCTATGCCATGCTTGCCGCCCTGTCACTGAATAGGCAGTCCCTTCAGTCTAGCAGGTTTCTGTCTTGATCACTTTCCTTCTAAAAATGGAT